TTAGTACGCAAACTGGAGTGGTTTTCCGACTCACAGGACTGACCCTCAGCTGATGATCGATACGTTCAAATGAAGTTGGACATCAATCGATAACCACAAAATCTGCAGAGGGATCCTATATGCGCGCTCAGCTGTGGACTCACGCGTAGCCTAAAATCTTGGGACGAGGGGATACGAAGTGACCCTCAAACTGAAGTTCATCTGGCCGCGGCTAGCTTAAGTTAAACGTGGTTACGTTCACAGTGTTTGCGACAACCGGCTCCAAACTTGTCGTTGTCACATCCATATTTCTATGGCAGTCCACATTTCCAAAAATTAAAATAAAATGAGCGAAGTGAAACGATTAATTAAATTATCAAAATACACTCATTTGCAACCGAATTTGATTTTGCGATGGATTCACCTGGAACTCAGCTGAATCTCTCGTTTATTTCTAAACACGGGAAACGATCCCACGAAGTAATAATAACCAAGATAATGAAAAAGTAATTAATAACATTTATAATTACAAATTAAAAGTACGTCCAATTTTTTTCTCTCATGCTGTCCCCCTTTACCTGTAAAATCAAAAACTACGGAGATTATCACATACATGAATACATGTATGTACGAAGTGGGTTCGGTGAGCAATGAGACACGCCCCAATCTGCAGAAGTCCTGGTCATATCGTTTTATATGTATAGGTCCGTTCCGGCAAGTAGGCATCTCGTGATTATAGTCCCGCAATCCCTGATCTTAGACTGATGAGATTACCGATTTTTGCCGATAACCCAAGAAATTCAGTGTGCGCCTTTGTACTTTATCCTTAGTGGAAATTTCGAGGGTTAATTTTGTCTCCGTCTCGTGAGAAGTGAAGAAAGACAACTGACAATGGCTTGTCTAGCAGAGACCTGTCTGGCCCCAGTAATGAAAACGTTGAAAAACAGATCGAACAATGTGATTACGCTCCCTGAGCGCCAGAGCGATTGAATACACCATTACATGCGCCATTACATCTGTCGTATTGCCTAGTATTTTACGCAAGGCTAACTCTCCACACATCACCATCAATCAATAAATCACTCTCACAAGATTCCTGAAACTTCCTTCCGAAAAGTCATCACTCGTGGAGTTAAACAGCACGTGACCTCGTAGTGTGTATTCCGTGATTAAAGGACAAGTGAGCTCTGTTCAAGTCAGAACGCGTCACTCTGCTTCTCGGTCGCTCGTGGACAAACGGCTAAGTGTGCACCCACTGGCTGTCAGGTCGCGGGTTCGAAAGTGTCTCGGTTTTGTAAAATGAGCACTGACGATTATTCCTAACAAAGATGAAGCAGGTGTTTTTCGGCTTTTCAGCAAAGACTGACTTTACTAACATGATGAAAACTACATTGGAAGTCACATCATCAACATCACACTGGAGGAGTCAAAAAGGTGACCGGGATGAAATAACGCGCAATACAATCTCCTTTATGCGCTACAGGGTACCACACCGGTTGGGGACGAGCTTTGTACAGGTGGAATTTCACATTCAGGTAACGGTTTTCATCTCTAACAAAATTGTACAGATGGACTTTTTTGACAAGACCACTCATTCCCACTCATTCCATTCCGATCATCTGGCGGATGTTGCTGCCAGGGTGACTCACCTTCCAGGATGGGGCCTGCGTGATCTCCACAGCTCTTGGTTAGCGACGCTGCAGGAGTTGAGTGTTAATCGATGTCAGTGGTGTTCTTGTTGTCGATTTCTATCCAGATTGCCTGAGTGAGTGTCTGGAGGTGTAAAAGTCTCGGAATAGGTGATAAAAACTCATCACTTTGTTCGGAAAAAAACACCCGGCTTAGTTATTTTAGCATTTTGACATCACTGAACAGATATGAGAGCATTCGATGATCTTGGGGTGATGATCATCTTTAGAATGAACCAGATACTCAGACCGTTCGACTATAAATCGATCACAATCCGAGTCGTGTTCACATTATATCTGTTTGAGCAGTCTTCGTCTTTCCTTAGCGCCATTCTTCTGGTAAGTTCAAACCAAACGGAGGAAAGTTCTAGGCTCCAGTTTCGCCCTTATTCGAGCTCACCAGCTGTAATTATCCTTGACCATGCCGGTCTGCTCGACAGCCCGACGACCAACAAACTAACCTACCTTCTTGTCTAGATCAGCTGACACACCTGTCTGGAGTTCCCAGATAGGTGGCGCCAGGGGCGCTTGAAACCAGCTGGACTGTGTGAACTTGGATTTGCAAATCGCACAGCTCACTGCAGTTAATGTAAATACTATTTTTACGCAACTGGAGCTGAACGAACGCATGTTGAAGCTCGACAAACACGTAATCCCTCTACTTTCTGTGTGAAGTGGCCAAAAATCGAGGGTGCATTTAGAATACACCGAAAATTTCTCATCCAACACTGGAATCTTTGCCAAATCTTGTAGTCTGTGGAGTGATACGTGAACATTAGCCGACACCTTCCCCCGCCTGGGAAGGATGTCCTTCACTGAGTGGTTACTGATAACTGTAAGAAGCTGTTCCACTGTGCGGCGTTTGGGAAATAAGTCCGTTCTGGTGTATTAAAGAACAGTGGTCATTCGAAGGGGCCGTTCTTTGTCTAGTTACCTACACATCTCTCTTAGGAAGTAGAAATGTTGAACAGGAGCTCAACTGATGGGGCGTCCTTTGAGTAAGCCACTGGTCGCGGGTTTGAGTCTTGTTCACCTTAATCTGAGGTTAGATCTTAATCGACCCTTCAGGAAAGCCTCCCTTCCGCGATGAAATGGTTTTGAAATAACGGGAACCCAGGACAAGGTATACATACTGTCGACCTGTTAATAACATTTGCGGTAGATAAGACCAACTCAGAGTGAAAGTCATGTGATGCGTTATAGATTGAACCTACTTAGATTACCGATTCACCGAGTCACGATTGAACACGAACAAGAAATGGAGTAGCTGTCACACGCATCAGCAACCAACGTGGTAAGTGTGTTTGACGTTGTAATTGCAGTACACTGTCGGCTAACATTTCGAGACAGGTGAACCCAGCACAGGTTCAAGGAAGCACCTAGTCTGGCTTCGCTTCACACTACTGCGAGTATCACTTAAATCAGATAATAGGTTGGAATTCGGTAATTAATTAATTCGGTAATTAATTAATTAATTAGTTAGTTATTCAGTCAGCCAGTTAGTTGGTTGGTTAGTTAGTTAGTTGGTCAGTTAGTCAGTTAGTCAGTTAGTTGGGTGGTTGGTTAGTTATCTAGTTA